CATGTTTGCATTGTATTCCGGCCTCCCAAGAATGTGACTCTGGGAGACAGACTTTATCCTCAGCAATATATATCAATCTACCCAGCAGTTTGCTACATTCCTATGCAGGGAGAAGGCACCCAAGAGGGCCCAAAACTGCACAACAAGGTAAGTGGTATGCGGTAATATATTTAACAATACAGAAGCCAGAAAAACTGAGAAGGGGAAAAAATTCAGTCCTCAGCAGAGCTCTACTGATTATTACGAACCAGAAAGGGGTATTTCTTTTGCTTCACCCTACATAAATCACTGTGAATTATCTGCAAACCCAGCCAAAACCTGCTATCCATGAAATCCTGGGGGAAAAGCCTTTAAAAAATCCAGCTACAACAGCTACACTTCCATTGGCAATGGTTTGTCTTTTGCTCTGTTCCTGCCGTTATTTATCTCTTATATTTAACGTTCATAAAGTGTTCTGGGGATAAGCAGTCAGTTTTGAAAAACACCTTACAAGATAAAGTCATATTAAAGCTATTTCACTCGATGGGCTTATGCTGGCTTAAACAGAACCAATACACTGGGGACACACAATCCTAGGCTATAATAATGTTTTACATTTATATACTGCCTTTCACCCAGAACTCCAGAATTTATAGTACATGAAATGCCAAAGAATGACAAATGTAAACTGTACAACAGAGAACAGAGGTACCTTTGGCAAAGATCTTGTGGTAGATCCTACCATGCACAAGGAATTTCATGGCATTTCTGACACCTGCACTAACCAGAACTCAATGGGCCAGTAAACAGACATGCAACTGGATCGGAGATATTTTCCTTGCTTTGTCATCAAGAACTCAGTTAGAAAAGCTGCTCAGTATCTGAGCATCTGGAATTCTCAATTTGTAAAGCAGAAATTATACTCCAATTCAACATCCATAGTCAGCATACTACCTTAGTGTAAGATTTGTAAAAAAATATATGCAACAGCGCATTCCATGCCATTTGGTTCTGCAGTGATGATCCAATGAATGATATCACCAAAGTGGATCGGAGTAAGGTCATTTGACAGGACATCTCTTATGAGAACAGCCCAGGTAATATGTTTATCATGTTGAGCGCACCTTCCCACACGTCATCTGGCGCAACGTTAGCCTGCACAAAAATATCACTCAAGGGCACAGTGCGGTACACAGAGAATACATAAAGCATAAAAACCTGTTTGTTCTCTATCCTTCATTTATCACAGGATGATAAAAGGCCTCTGACCACTGCCCTACAAGGCCCATGCTATCCTTGTTAAAGCTAAACTGTGTATCAGATATTTCACCTGATGAGCTCTGAGGGCAAATTAACTGGATACAAACTCCACAATGGAGGATAATTAACAATCTACTTAGTGGCCATTAAGCATTCAACCCAGCTCCTCAAGATGGTGATGGCTTAGCCAAATCAGGTACCACACATAAGGCAGGGCTACCAGGAAACCAAGGGTCATAAGAGATCAGACATCAGACACCAAAATTAAATCTAGCAGGGTACAACTTGCTTACACAGGGAACAAAGCTGGATGATCTGATTCCCTCTGAGACTTAACACCTAGAGAGACATGAATCAGTCGGCGCACTGCCCATCCCACCGAGGCAAGCCCCTCTGCATAACTGACAGCCATCCCCTCATCCAGATTAGCACCCACAAACAATTCAGCAGCTGCCAAATAATACTTGACCTGGTCTGCCCCAAAAGGGGTGATGTTGGCCTTGACCGACCCGACGCCCAGCCCCACGAGGACCAGTCCGACGAAGGTGGCGGTGGCACAGTAGCGGGTGGCTCCCACCTGGGAGCAAGGCGCCATGGTGGCGTTGGCTGCCGGAGAGGAGCAGTTCTCTACAGGGAACAAGGGGATGTCCCCACAGAGGCCCTGGCGGGTGTGCGGTGCAGCGATGACGGGGAAGGCCAGCATGCCCAGCAGGTAGAGGGCCATGCTGAGCAGGATGGTGCCAAACTTGCCCAGGAGGGCGTCTGCCAACCAGCCACCAAAAGGTGACACCAGGTAGGTGATGCCCATGAAAAGCAGCAGGGCCTGGCTGGCCTGAGCACCCTCCCA